GTGTGATTTTCCAATGATGGGCAAGTACAAGTTTTGCTTGTAATAAACCGAAGATCAGCATTTTCTTACGAGAGCTAGTTAAAGTGCAAGTTATAGGGAAACATTTAATATACAAAGTTTAGAACATTTGGGAACATTTTGTTTCCACACCAGTAATAAAAAGTACAAAACCTTTTTAACCCTTCGGAGTCTTGGGCTATTTTGGCCCTTTTTGAGTACTTTTTTTTATTTTTTTAATTTTGCAACATTAACAAATGTTTACCATACCAATTTTTGGTATCATTTTTTTTCAGCACAACATCACCTATATGACCAGACAATTAGTTTATCACTTTGATGTACTGTATCAACATACTGGACCCAAAATCACACAAAAAAAAACACAAAATCCGAATAGAAATATAATAGCTTTTCTACTACAAAAAACACAAACATGCTCAATGAAGCATTTTAAAAGGTTTAAAATGTAAACACAAGTTGTAAATGTCAAAATATACAGGCAAAATTCAGATATGATCAAGCTACAGTATATACATCTACTCCTAAACTACAAAGTACCTAAACTACTCCTAAACTCTCTACACTACTCCTAAACTACTCTCAAAATCTAATCAAACTAACAATAATTTCTCTCTATATATATACTGTATACAGTATATAACATATATATTTCTCTCTTTGTCTACTCTGTAAATCTCCTGCCTTTCAGTTTCAATTTTGCGTCTTATCTCCTTTGCTCAGTTGGCTCCTCCTTCATTCCGTGAAATGTGCAGCCTGAAGAGCAGAGTCAGCAGATTCACACATTTTTCTCTGTTTTGTTTTATGACAAAAACGGACAAATTTATTAGAATAAATGCAACGTCTGTCACATCCCATCTTGCGTTCTTTTACGAACACGTCAATATACGCGTACATTTTTTTATATAAAGTTTAAATGATCATATCTCCGTTTTTACTTGGTCTATCAACACAAAACAAAAAGTAAAATAGAATTTCAAGTCAGCACTTTCGACAGAAGTGGACGGCTGCGCTCAATGTGACTTTGTCTTTATGCTTCGACGTCTTAAACTGGACACGTGACTTGATCACGCTGGCATGATCGGTGACCCCGAAGGGTTAAAAATGTTGAACTTGGGGCCACTTCCATAAGCAATGATATAAAGTTCCTATCTCTAGGTCTAGGTATTTTATGTATTGATTGGAAATGTTGGGATTACATTTATGTAGTAATTGTGGAGTTCTGTATACTCTAATAATCTCTGGGTTGTTTGCAGGTTTGCAGCTCTGTCCTAAGCTGGCTTGTCGCTTTTTCAACACGGCTTCTCTCAGGATCCAGCGATGCGAAGAGCTTCGCTGAAGAGATGAAAATCAGGGATTTCCAAGCCCCGCTTACATACATTAAGCCACGCCTCTTCTGGCGGGCTAAGACATGTTGAGTCATCCTTCATTGGACGTGACGTCACGCCGGGCTCAGTGGTCAGCCTGCTCTAGGTCTGCTGGCTGCTGCACAGCGTTGACAATGAATACAAAATTAAGGATAATTTTTTGGCTTTAATATCTCGAGAAGATGAATCTTTCCCATAGCATAAGCTGACTAACGCAATACGAGAGAACCTTTCGTAGGAGAACACAATGAGCAGTAACAGAGCCTGTGTTTTTTTTGTATTAACAAATATCCACAAGATGAATCACTCACCTCAGTTTTTCCAGTTTACACTGATGATCAGCTAACAGAGATGAAAGCAGCTTCAGCCCTGAATATTTAATGTCATTCCCACTCAGGTCCAGCTCTTTCAGATGAGACGGGTTTGATCTCAGAGCTGAAGTCAGAACAGCACAGTCTTCCTCTTTAATAAGACAAGCATACAACCTGTAAGCATGAGAGAAAACATGTTAAAGCAGAAATGCTCATAACGGGCCACTTCAAATGGTCTTTTGGAATAAAGGATTTCGAAGGGTACAAGTGATGGACACTTTCACTTGGACACTTGCAGGTATAATTGTGCAATTCAATTCAATTCTCATTTATTTGTATACCACTTTTCACAATGAACATAGTTTCAAAGCAGCTTTATAGAAAATGCATGAGTCCACATTATAATTTAGAGTGATCTGTTATCAGGTAACTGTCTAAGTGATGTATTTCAGAAATGTACCTATAGAAAATCGCAGTTAGCTAAAAATTTCTTAATTTAAACAATGTAATAATTTAAGGCAGAAACAATGAGCTCATTAAAGTAATGAATACTTGTTTGTTAACAAATGATTATGACATTAAGAAAAGTTTCAATTTCAGCGTCTCCTTAATTGGCTCTGCAAGTTTTGTCAAGGTCCCCTACACCCTACTTCTCTTAAAAGATCTCATGTTGGAGGGTAAACCCTTTGAAGAAATCAGAATTCAGAATAGAACGCAGTTTCTAATTGTACCACGAGGAGGTGAGGAAAAAAGGCTTGATGAATGATTCAGAGGAGATATGAGCAATGATATCACAGGTTCCTCAGTCCTCATTTACTTTCATTGCATTTTCCCTTGCATATTCTAAGGGTGGAGGAGCCACCCTTAGAATATGCCACCCAAATGTTCTTAAAAAAAAAAAAAAAAAAACGTGAGGAAAGGAAGCGAGGAAATGAAACAAGGATGGAGTAAGGAATGAGAAGCAACCTTGATATGTTAGTGATTCAAAATTTGCAGTTTTGTTGGGTGTCAAAATCAGAATACAGTAAAAATAACTTGTGTAACTATTAATTATACTTGTCATGGGGATCAACAAGTTAACATCACGTACCTAGTGTCACATAGGGACAATTTCTTACATTTAGTGATAGGAGTTCATAAAAATGTGAAATATCAAAGCAATAAGTCATATTAGCAATATAAGCTATTTTAGTGCAACAAAGTCACTTATGTGCATTTTATGAACCAAACATACCTGCCTAATTCCTCATACATACCGGATGTCCCTTATAACTGACATACATAGGAGATCTGTGCACCAATCTTGAACATCATATCGGTTACTATCGTAACCTCGGTTATGGTGTTGTTTGTTAACACTCAGGGTCACACTTGGGAGCCCAAAACAAATCCGATACTTCAGAAAAGGGAAATGAGAATTGGCAAGTGGAGTTTGCATGTCACTCCACCGACATGCAGGTATAAAAAGAGGGTGGCTTGCTTCATTCAGGTTTGTGCCTCTCTGCAAGCAGGGCAGGGCGGTATTACCCATCACTGATGTAAATAGGGCTCTGCTGAGCCTTGGGAGTGAGACTTAAGCCTGTTTTATGCTTCTGGGTCGAATTGACGGCGTACCCCCGCAGACCCCTATCCGTCGACGCGAACCCCTCTCCGACCCCTCCGCCGTAGCTCGACGTGCACCTCCAAAAATTTGTAACTACACGTCGAGGCGACGCAGACAGCAAGGGCTTTGATTGGTCAGATTATACATAATTTCAGGAGTGTAGCTTTTCCGATTTCCCCCTCCCGCTATAGCGCTATTTTTAACATTTGCACCCTCCTTCTGATAATTATAATACTCTTATAAAGAAAGTAAATAAAGAATTAATCTAAAAATAAACTGTTTTTTTATTTCATTGTTGATGTATACGTCTATATTCTTTTCTTTCTTTTTTGCTCGCAATAAACTTCAATCAATCAATAAATCAACATTTGTTTTGAAATACAGTTTGTTGTTTATTTTCAATACAATGTTCACGGTTACATCATTGATAATACAGTACTAACCAAGTCTGCCACGGGACACATTATCCTGCATAGCACAGTTCCATGTGGAGACTGAAAAAATCCTTTAAGTCATTCTGAACAGGTATCGTTACCAAGCTCGGGTGGAACCTTTATTTTATTGTCTATGGGTGGAACGGGCCCCGGACATCCGTGTTGATTCTGTGGGGATAAAGTTTGTGTCGTCTTGTTATTCAACGTCGATTAGCTCCAGCTGGCAGCTGCAACAACATTCTCTCTCTTTCGCTCGCGGCGCACGGAACCAAAGAGATTCGCGAACCCCCCTAGAGTTCTGGCGGCGAAATGCACCACGAAGCACCACAACCTCACGCAGAAGCATAAAACGGCCACGACGTCGTAGTAGTGACGACGTAGCTACGCCGTGGAGTTGACGCAGAAGCATAATGAGGCCTTTAGTGGTGAACTGAATCGCATAGTCAAGTCTGAATGCCCTGATGAGCTAATACATCAAGTGGGGAAGTGCTAGCCAGGTTTCCACACTCCACACTTTCACGAGTGGTATCAGAGGAGCAATTGTCTATGACATACCTGCGGTGGGGCGGCAAAGTGGAGGGTTCCAATATCATGGCTGAACCCCGATTCAAACCAGTTGGTGGCAGGTGAAGAAGCTTTGTGTCCTCAGAACGCACCCCATTGGCCTGTGGGGGGTTCTCTGTGTGCTGCAGGAGGTGAGGGTTTGCTTGCATGCCCAGGCTGCAGGTTGTGGGACCCAGGGAGTGTGGAAGCTGCTTTCTTTTTGAAAATTTGGGTACCGCTACCAGCTGGCGCAGTGGTGAAAAAAAACAAAAAGGGGAACTAAAAATTCTCTATTCTGCCTCTATGTTGGCATTCCTGAACCACAATTGTGGACATTGCCGACAAATCACATGCAGAGCACGGCCCGTCACTGAGCACAATTCCTACATCAATTCATCAATTCCACCTCAAAACTAACCTTGTGCAGATGCCTTAGTGCCATGGCATGCAGGGTGGAGGTGGCCTGTCTAGTGACACTGTGAGCCTTCGCTGTCGGAGACAACAAAAAACGTACAGGCCCTGGATGGGAGTCTGTGGGCAAACACACCTGGCAGTAAAATGTGCCCTCTAAAACTTTGTGAGCTTCTCATACACTTTCATGAAGAAGGGTACTGAGGCCCAGATACCAATCATCCAGTCGTGAACATTCGGCACAGAGCGGAGGATTCCAGCCCGATGCTTGTGCATGGCTTCCAACACTGAATGTAATGAAGTACATTTACTTGAGTACTGTACTTAAGTACACTTTTTGAGTATCTGTACTTTACTTGAGTATAATTTTTTCTTTACTTTAACTTCACTACATTTGAAAGAGTAGTGAGTAGAAAGTAGTGATGCTAGTCATGGCATGATTTTTTCCTTTTTTAAAACATGATTGTTTTGGGGGTTTTTGTGGCTGACAGACAGCCAATCAGTCAAGTCAAGTCAAGTCAATTTATTTATAGAGCACGACATAAACACAACATTTGTTGATCCAAAGTGCTTTACAGATGGTCAAGAGAAAAAAGAAAAAGAAAAACAACAATAATAACAGTAATAAAAATTAATGGAGAAAACTATTAATAGTAATAAACTAATAAAAGAACATTTCTACGTACATATACACAGTGTACCAAACACAGCGTCACTCAAACGCGAGAGTATAAAAGTGAGTCTTTAAGCTAGATTTAAAAACGTTGAGCGATGGAGAGGCCCTGATATCAAGGGGTAAGCTGTTCCAAAGTTTAGGTGCAGCAACCGCGAAAGCTCGGTCGCCTTTGGATTTGCAATGTGAGCGAGGGACTGATAAAAGAAGCTTGTCACCGGATCTTAATGACCTAAAGATTGTATATGGCTGGATGAGTTCACAGAGGTAATCCGGGGCTGATTTTTGTAGAGCCTTGTATACAAAAAGGAGGAACTCAGCACCTTAAAATCAACTCTGAATTAAATAGGGATTCCTGTCAGCAGTCTGACTGCCGCATTTTGGACCATCTGAAGCCGAGATAGAGTGCTTTGAGGAAGACCGACATACAGAGAATTACAGTAGTCCAGTCTAGAAGAGATTAGTACGTGGATGACAATCTCAAGATCTTTTTGAGAAAGAAAATGTTTTACCTTCGCAACAGATCTGAGGTGGAAGAAGCTACTCTTGACAACTGAGTTTACCTGTTTGTCAAAATGCAGTGAAGGGTCGAAATGGACCCCTAGATTTTTTACAGAGGGTTGTAAGCTATCACTAAGGGAACCTAACCTACTTGTCAGAGTAGTATTGAGTGCGGCAGGACCTAGCAGAAGAACTTCAGTTTTGTCAGTGTTTAGTTGCAGGAAATTGTTTGCCATCCAAGTTTTTACGTCATCAAGATGTGAGAGAAGGAGTTGTATGGAAAAATGATTTTCAAGCTTGATTGGAAGGTAAAGTTGTAGGTCATCTGCATAGCAGTGGTAGTTTATGCCATGTTTCTGGAGAATGGAGCCCAGGGGGAGCATGTAGAGTGAAAACAACAAATGACCAAGAATAGAACCCTGGGGAACACCATAAGGGACGGGTGCAGTAGGTGAAGTAAATGACCCGATATTTACTGAAAAAGTCCTACCCTTTAAATAAGAGTTGAACCATTGTAGTCCTGTGCCTTGAACCCCTACTGTATATTGAAGTCGTTTCAAGAGGATGTCATGGTCAATAGTGTCAAAAGCTGAACTCAGATCTAGCAGTAACAGAATGACAGATGACCCTGAATCCGTAGACAACAATAGATCATTCGTAACTTTAAGCAAGGCTGACTCTGTACTGTGAAGTGCTCTGAAAACAGATTGGAACTTATCCAAAATGTTAAAACCATCTAAGTAAGAAGTAAACTGTGAGAGCACTGCTTTCTCTAAAAACCTTTGAAATAAATGGGAGTTTAGAAATTGGCTGGTAGTTACTAAGAACAGATGGATCAAGGTTAGATCTTTTTAGCAGGGGCTGTACAGAGGCATGCTTAAATGGAAAAACCCCACTGGACAGATAACTGTTTATAATAGTTAAAAGCGCAGGGCTAATGGTGTCTAATACCTCTCTGAGCACATCAGATTGACAGTATGTCAATTTCATTTTAGAGATTAATGCACTT